TTTTTGACTTTTATAAACTCTATATTTGTCGATTTTTCAATTAATTGATTTTTCAGGTTTTTGGTTTTCAATTTTTCAATTTTTTCAGGTTTTTTCAACTTCACTTTTTTGATTTTTCGATTTCTGAATTTTTCGATTCTTTGGATTCTCAGTTTTTTGATATTTCAGTTTGTCGATATTTCAGTTTTGGGATTTTTCAATATTTCTGTTCTTCGACTTTTCCATTTTTGACTTCTGGATTTTTCGACGTGTCGACTTTTTACTTTTTGGATTTTTAAATTTTAGATTTCTCAATTTTTTGGTATTTTAGTTTTTCAATATTTAAATTTTAGATTTTTCGATTTTGTCGATTTTTCATTACGGGTCTTCCATATTTCAATTTTTCGACTTCCCGGTTTTAGATTTTCTGTTTTTCAATTGTCGTTTTTTCAATTTTTCGATTTTTAAATTTTAGATTTTTCAGTTTTTTGATATTTTAATTTTTCAACATTTAAAATTTTAGATTCTTCGATTTCTCGATTTTTCATTTTAGTTTCTCGATATTTCAGTTTTTCAAGTTTTCGGATTTTTCAAATATTTTGATTTCTTGATCTATCGATTTTTCGACTTCCCGGTTTTAGATTTCCTGTTTTTCAATTGTCGTTTTTTCAAATTTTCGATTTTTCAATTAATCAACTTTCGAGGGTTTCGATATTCTTGTTCTTCAATTCTTTAATATTACTATTTTGCAGGGTTTTGATTTTTCGTTTTTTAGTTTTTTTATGGTTCCGATATTTCAACTTCACTTTTTTGATTTTTCGACTTCCCGGTTTTAGATTTCCTGTTTTTCAATTGTCGTTTTTTCAATTTTTCGATTTTTAAATTTTAGATTTTTCAGTTTTTTGATATTTTAATTTTTCAACATTTAAAATTTTAGATTCTTCGATTTCTGGATTTTTCATTTTAGTTTCTCGATATTTCAGTTTGTCAAGTTTTCGGATTTTTCAAATGTTTTGATTTCTTAATCTATCGATTTTTCGACTTCCCGGTTTTAGATTTCCTGTTTTTCAATTGTCGTTTTTCCAAATTTTCGATTTTTCAATTAATCGACTTTCGAGGGTTTCGATATTCTTGTTCTTCAATTCTTTAATATTACGATTTTGCAGGTTTTTGATTTTTCGTTTTTTAGTTTTTTATGGTTCCGATTTTTCAACTTCACTTTTTTGATTTTTCGATTTCTCAATTTTTCAATTCTTTGGATTCTCAGTTTTTGGATATTTCAGTTTTGGGATTTTTCAATATTTCTGTTCTTCGACTTTTACATTTTTGACTTCTGGATTTTTCGATGTGTCGACTTTTTACTTTTTGGATTTTTAAATTTTAGATTTCTCAATTTTTTGGTATTTTAGTTTTTCAATATTTAAATTTTAGATTTTTCGATTTTGTCGATTTTTCATTTCAGCTCTTCCATATTTCAATTTTTCGACTTCCCGGTTTTAGATTTTCTGTTTTTCAATTGTCGTTTTTTCAATTTTTCGATTTTTAAATTTTAGATTTTTCAGTTTTTTGATATTTTAATTTTTCAACATTTAAAATTTTAGATACTTTGATTTCTCGATTTTTCATTTTAGTTTCTCGATATTTCAGTTTTTCAAGTTTTCGGATTTTTCAAATGTTTTGATTTCTTAATCTATCGATTTTTCGACTTCCCGGTTTTAGATTTCCTATTTTTCAATTGTCGTTTTTTCAAATTTTCGATTTTTCAATTAATCGACTTTCGAGGGTTTCAATATTCTTGTTCTTCAATTCTTTAATATTACGATTTTGTAGGTTTTTGATTTTTCGTTTTTTAGTTTTTTTAAGGTTCCGATTTTTCGACTTCACTTTTTGGATTTTTCGATTGCTCAATTTTTCGACTTTTAGGTTCTCAGTTTTTGGATATTTCAGTTTTCGGATTTTTCGGGTTTTCCATTTTTCAGTTTTTCGATTTCAGTTTTGGGATTTTTCGATATTTGGATTCTTCGATTTTTCGATTTTTGACTTCTGGATTTTTCGATGTGTCGATTTTTTTGTTTGTTCGATTTTTCAATTTTTTGATTTTTAAATTTTAGATTTTTCGATTTCGCTATTTTTCATTTCAGTTCTTCGATATTTCAATTTTTCAAGTTTTCGAATTTTTCAAATGTTTCGATTTCTTAATCTTTTGGTTTTTCGACTTCCCGGTTTTAGATTTTTTAATTTTTCAAATTTGACTTTTATAAACTCGATGTTTATATTTTCCCATTTCTTGACCTTCGAGTGTCTGGATTTTCCTGTTCAATTCTTTGATTTTTCGATTTTTCAGGTTTTTGATTTTTCATTTTTTAGTTTTTTTAACGTTTCGATTTTTCGACTTCACTTTTTGGATTTCTCGATTGCATAATTTTTCGACTTTTTAGGTTCTCAGTTTTTGGATATTTCAGTTTTCGGATTTTTCAGGTTTTCCATTTTTCAGTTTTTCGATTTTTGACTACTGGATTTTTCGACGTGTCGATTTTTTTACTTTTTCGATTTTTCATTTCAGTTCTTCAATATTTCAATTTTTCAAGTTTTCGAATTTCTCAAATGTTTCGATTTCTTAATCTTTTGGTTTTTCGACCTCCCGGTTTTAGATTTTCTGTTTGTCAAATTTTCGATTTTTTAATTTTTCAAATTTGACTTTTATAAATTCTCAATTTTTCGATTTTTCAATTAATCGATGTTTTGATTTTCTCATTTCTTGACCTTCGAGTGTTTCGATTTTCCTGTTCTTCAATTCTTTAATTTTTTGATTTTTCAAGTTTTTGATTTTTATATTTTTCGAATTCACTTTTTTAATTTTTTGATTTTTCAGTTTTTAGATATTTCAGTTTTAGAATTTTTCAATATTTCAATTCTTCTGCTTTTCAATTTTTGACTTTTTACATTTACGATCTTTCAACTTTTGGATTTTTAAATTTTAGATTTTTCAATCTTTTGATATTTTAATTTTTCAATATTTCCTAATCTTTCGATTTTTCGACTTCCTGGTTTTAGATGTTCTTTCTGCTTTTCAATTTTTCGATGTGTTAATTTTTCATTCCCAATTTATCGGGATTTGATTGTTCAGGTTTTCGATTTATAAGTTTTTCAATTTTTTATTTTGGCCTATCTCGGTTTCTCAGCTTTTCCATTTTTTTCGTTTTTTGATTTTTCCGCTTTTCCAATTTTTCAACTTTTATCTTTTTATTTGTCGATTTCTCTATTTTTCGATTTTTCGTTCTTTTGACCTTTCAATCACTCAATTTTTCAATTTTCCGAATTTTTAAGTTTTTTGATTTCTCGATTTATCGAGATTTGGATTTTTCGATATTGTTCCATGATTTCTTGATCTTTTGATTTTTCGATTTCTGGGTTTTTCGTTATTCGATTTGTAAATTTTAGATTTTCGAATTTTACATTTTTTCGATTTTCTGATGTTTCATTTTTCGATTATTTTAATTTTTCATTTTGTTTCTCACTGTTCATATCATGCAGTGTATCGAAAACAACCACAAAAATTGTCACTAAAAACATTTAAAACTTCATACAAAATAGAACACAGTGTTTCCAAAACATTTTCCCGAAAAAAATCCATTGGGTTATTACGATTTCAACAAGATTCTTAGTTTAAGTTTTGCTAGTATAAAACATAAATAATTAATTCTTAGTTAAACAAAATATGTACCAAAAATATTCACTTAGTAGTTATAAAACCCGACCAAACAACAATTTCCCGCAAAAATTATAGTCCAAACCAACCAAATCGCTTAGAGTCGACATTGGCCTGAGCGCGCTCTGGTCTGTAGATCAAACAAGTTCTCAGGCGACGAGTTGTAGTGAAACAAGTTTTTTTATTGGCATAGACTATTTAAATTTGGCGCTTGAGGACTCCAATGTCAATAAGATGTCAAAAATTTGCAAAATCAGCCTGCATGTCGTATCTGTATTAATCTATGATATTAAATAGCCAATCAGCTGTTTCACACCGTTAAAATTCACTGGTTTTTTAAAATTTAAAGCTAAACCATTCACCGCCAACTTTCACACCGATCTTCTCGCTCTTTCTGTCAAATTACTTAACAAAACCACTCATTTCAAATAATTCGAAATTTCTAATGCGATATCGTGTAAAACAGGCTGAATCAGGGCACACCATTTTCAAATTTTGACAACCGACACAAGTAATTTTTTACGAGTTGTTGATATTGTTGTCGAAGGGTGTTGAACCAGTTTGATCTCTATCACAAAATAATTTCATCGTTATCATTTTCTCATTTTATCAATTTCTGAAGAAACTATGACTGCATTTTCTTATCAAATTGTCGTAATAAGTGGCAGGATGATAACACTCTTGCGGTAAAATTTAATAAGCGTGGTTAACCACTAAATAAACATTCTTAACACTGATACGTATCGAAGCACCCATATTTTGAATGCAACCCATGTCTTTGTTCCAGTTCCAATTGTTTACTTTAATCTTGTAATACCATCCGGAAAACGGTAACAATAAACAGTAACTAACGTTCCGAATTGTGTCGAAATGACCCAAATCCTCGATTTTTGCACTTTTGGGTGAACACTAAAACCCACATGAAATCTAAACCACAAAGAAAATAATGATCAATTTTATTAGGCACTAATTATATTTATAGTGTCAGTTATCTCCTAAAAATATCCCGTGGTCATGACTTCTAAAATAAAATTAAATAAACTAAAATAAAATAAAATAATACACGTGTCCTTTAATAATAATAATAATAAATTCACTCAGAATTTTATTAAAAACGATTTTTTTCATCGCCAAAATAAAAACAATCGCTTGACGATTATCGCCCGGTTGGCCCCACAATCGGCAATTAATCGCCGACAATGAAATAAAGACTGGTCGAAATGTTTCCGACAACCCCTTTGTGCTCCATCGGCCTACATATCAGTCAACAAACCCAGATTCCCATAAGCCACAACAAAACCCAAATCCTTACCTTTAATCTATTCAAATTTCCATCTCTAGCTGCGTTATAAACTACGCTTTTGTAATCCATTTTCGTTCGAGTGCACTTCTCACAAAACAAAGTCGAAATCTCGCGAAAATTCGTTGTCTTTCAGTTAACTAATAGCGAAGGAGCCATTCCCTCTTTGCATCACTACTCAGCAGCTGATAGACGACTGCCATGGACAACTGTTATTTTGCTTTGCACGAGTTCGTGATGGAAAATAAAATCTCGTCGAAGGCCAGCTGTTCCTGTGACAGTTAAAAATAGAATTCTTCTTTGGGAGGTAGTTGGCGCGGTGGCCATTAGAGCACCGTCACGATAAACGGGCGCTTAATTCGCGAACGGACAGTAGATGTCGGGTGGAGCAACTGGTGTATTGTTGGTTGCATACCGATATAAATGAATTTACAAATCATGTGTTGCTAGTTTCATGGCCAACTTAGTTGCGTAGCACCGCACTATTTTTGCATACTAATAAAATTTTAGTCTACAAGTTGTCAATCGTCCTTAAAAGGCTCTGTTCCAGTGGCGTAAATAGCACCCCCGCAGATCCCGCAATGCGGGGGGCGCAGACCGTAACGTTACCAATATATTGTTTTAAAATGTGCATTTTTTAAATAAGTGGGTTTTCATTGGAATTGAAAATGAGATCAGGTAAATTAATAGCTATTTAACGAACAAGTTTGTTAATAAAGGTGATTAATAATCGAGATATTTTAACGCGCGAGGAACAAGTTTTTATATTTTTTCTTTTTCTCAATTTGAAATTTTTCAGTTTTTGGATTTTTCAATTTTTCTTGTTTTCAATTTTTCGTTTCTTCAATTTTTGATTTACAGGTTTTCTCATTTTCATTTTAGATATGTAATAATAATTATAATTTTTATTAGAGTTGTTCACTTTTTCGTTTTTGGATTTTTTTAATTTTTCGATCTTTGAATGTTAGTTTTTGGACTTTACGAACATTTTTCGATTTAATTCGTTCTTTGATTCATTAATTTCTTCTCGATTTCTAGTTTTTCAATGTTTCTATTTTTCGTTTCTTCAGTTCTACAATTTTGTCAAATAAATGTTATATAAATTAAAAAAAAAGTAACAGTGTACCTATGGTCTGTGAATCCGTGTTGAATTTTTATCTTCGACATCGAAATTTTTGTGGAAAAACAAAACAAAATTGAATTACAATTTTTCGATTTCTTGATTTCTCGATTTTTAGTTTACTTAATTTTTCGATATTTCAGTTTTACAATTTTTGCAATTTAAAAAAAAAATAATTTTTACATTTCTCAATTTCTCTATTAATCAATTCTTTGATTTTTCGATTTTTCCTCTTTCCAATTTATCGATTTTTCAGTTTTTCGATTTCTCAAGTTTTCGTTGTTCCAATTTTGGGATTTTTCAATATCTCCAATTTTTTTATTTAAAATTTCAGATTTTTCGAATTTTGAATATTTTGATTTATCGTTTTTTTTTTAGTTTAAATATGTATTTCAGTTTTAAATTTTCCGGTTTTTCGATTTCGGGCTATTTCGATTTCTCCATTTCTCGGATCTTTTGATGTCTGAATTTTTTAATTTCGATTTCTCGGCTTTTCCATTTTTCAATTTTTTATTTCTTCAATTTTTTTAGATTTTTAAAATCCTCCATTTTTCGATTTTATGTTTTGTTATGCTTCGATCTCCCGATTTTAACCTTTTTAACGTGTATTCCAATTTTTCGATTTTGGAATTTTCGATTTCTTACATTTCGATTTTTCGTTTTTTCGATTTTAAAATTTTTTTACTTTTCGTTCTTTTTTTCGATTCTGGATTTTTCAAGTTTTCGATTTCTCAATTTTTCAACATTTCAATTTTGAGAATGTCTATATTTTTCAGTTTTTTGATATTTTCTTTTTTCAACTTTTTAAATTTTGATTTTTCGACTTACCGGAAATCGATTTTTGGGTTTTTCATTTTTTCAAGTTTTCGAATTTTTAAAATTAAAATTTTTCGATTTTATTTTTTTTACGTTCCGAATACCCGATTTTAATTTTTTTATGCTTTTCAATTTTTGGTTTTTCTAAATTTTCATTGTTCCATTTCTCAATTTCTCGATTTTTCGACTTTTTGATTTTGTGTTTTTTTAAATGTGAAATTTTTCGTTATTGTAATTTTTCAATTTTTTTAAATTTTAGATATTTAGATTTTTCAACATCTTGAATTATCGATCTTTTTTCAGATTGAATTCCTCGGTTTTTCGATTTTCCAAAATTTCGATTTTTGAAAATTTTCGATTTCTCGATTTTTCAGTTTTTGATTTTCCAACTTTTAGTTGTTTCAAATTTTAGAGTTTGCAAACTTCACGAGTTTACAGTTTTTAATTTCGTCAATTTTTCGATTTGCAATTTTTCCTGTGGGTTTTTAATTTTCTTTATTTTTTCAGTTTTCTGCTTTCAATTTTCCGTTTTTTTAATTTTTCATTTGCAGTTTTTCTAGTTTTCATTTTAATTATGTAACACTCCTAATAATTATAATTTTTAAAGTTGTTCACTTTTTCAGTTTTTCGTTTTTGGAATTTTTCAATTTTTCGGTGTTTGAATGTCACAGTTTTTGGACTTTACAATTTTCAAGATTCTATAATTTTTCGATTTTAGAATTTTTGGATTTTCCAATTTTTCAATTCGAATGGTTTTTCTTCTTTCCCATTCTTCGATTCATTAATTTTTTTTTAGATTTTTAAGTTTCTCGGTTTTTAGTTTTTCATTGTTTCAATTTTTCATTTTTTCGAGTTTTTAACTTTTCGAATAAACAAAATCGAAAAATTATAAAATAGAAAAATTGTAAAACTGAAAAAGTACAAAATGAAAGCTTCGAAATATAAAAAAATTGGAAATCAAGAACTTAAAAAATCAAAGATTGAAAATGTAAAAAATTGAATAAACAAAAAATTATAAAATCCAAAGAAACATTGAAAAAATAAAGATAATGGAAAAATGAAAAATTGTGATATAAAATCAAGAAAATGAAAATTACAAAATTGGGAAAATGAAAATATCGAAAATCTGAAAAATATAGAAATTGAAAAATTCCCAAAATTGCGATGTTTAAAATTGAGATAGCGAAAACTTAAAAATCGAGAAATCGAAAAATTTTTAAAATTGGAAAATTGAGATATGAGAAATCGAAACATAAAGATTATAAAAGGGAAAAATGAAAAATTTTAAAAATCGAAAATTTAAAATATACCGGGTGTTTCTTTTATTTGATACAACCCCTGTAAATTTTTTATTTTTAAAGATAAATCTGTAGTTCTTTGAGCAAATTTGTATCATTTTAAAAGATCTAGTGATGACAACAATTTTTCAAGCAACTAGATTTTGAAATAAACGGAAAATTTTGGAGATATTTTACTAAATAACTTTTTTATTATTGATTTTAGAATATTGGTTGCTTGTGATTTTTTGTAGTGAAAAAATCAATCTTTCCATTTATGAAAAAATATACCTAGTGTTCCATTAAAAAAAAAATAAGTTGACGTCATTTGCGGTTCTACCGCCAGTGATAATAAAAATGTGTGCTTACCATCATATAAATCTTTGAGAATGATACAAATTTGGTTAAAGAACTACGGGTTTATCTTCAAGAATAAAAAAGTTACAGGGGTTGTATCAAATAAAAGAAACACCCTGTATACTAGAAAAATCGAAAAACCAAGAAATCGAAATCGAAAACTTGAGACTTCAAAAGATCGAGAAATCGAAATAGGTCGAAATCGGAAAATTCAAAATTGAAATATTTACTTAAAAAAAAGATAAACGGAAAAATCGAAAAACTCAAAAAAATCGATAAATCTAGATATGAGAAACAGAAAATTCCAAAAATCGAAAAATTGAAACACAGATTAAAAAGTTTAAAAAATCGAAGTTAAAAAATCGTAAAAACAAATTCCATTCGATTTTCCGTTTTATCGATTTTGCAGTTTTTTGTTTCTTCAATTTTTTCCAATTTTTTAATTTTCCGATTTTTCAATTTTTCGAATTTTCTACTTTCCGAATAAACAAAATGGAAAAGTTATAAAATAGAAAAATTGTAAAATTGAAAACTCAAAATGAAAAAACGCAAAAGTATAAAATGAAGGTTTCGAGAAATGTAAAAACTTGAGAAATTGAAGAAACGGAAAATTCAAAAATCGAATGATTAAAAATTGAGAAACTTTAAGATCGAAAAATTGCGGTCGAAAACACGAAAATTATTGTAAAATCTAAATATTGAAAATTGGAAAATCGAGGAATTGAAAATGTGAAAAATTGAATAAACAAAAAATTGTGATATCAAATCCAGAAAATGAAAATTAAAAAATCGGGAAAATGGTATAAAAAAAAAAATGAAGAACTTGAAACATCATTACGCCGAATATGTTCATTGCGCTACACATAACCTCAATTTAGTCCTTATTGATTCTGTTAAGAATGTACCAGGAATTTCCGCATTTTATGATTTTATAAATGCTATATACGTCCATTTCAGTGAGAGTTTACCGAGATGGCAACAACAACAACATTGAGATGAAAGAGAATGATAAGTGTTATAAAAAAAACTTAAAAAAAGTTATGCCCCACCAGATGGTCATCGAGATTTGATTCTCTAATTGCCATTAGATATAATCTCTCAACAGTTATGAGCTGAAATTATTTTAACATCAAAAAAGAAAAGTGAAATAGATGAAGTTGTAGCTCTTCGTAAAAAAATGGATTCATTTGAATTTGTTGCTCTATTAGTATTTCAATTCAAAATTTTAGAAAATGTTAATTTGGTCTCAAAAACTTTACAGAGTTCAAATATTACTTTAGATGAGGCTTGTAAATGGATGGAACATCTAAAAGACAAATTTCAAAGTATACGTGGAAGTTAGCTACGCCACTGCTCTGTTCGCCGCTTATCAACGAACAGACTTGAACTTCTAGGTGTAAAATCTTATTAGTATGCAAAAATAGTAGATAGGGGTAGGGACAGGTCAGGATTCCGGTCTCGCTGAAGACTGCAAGCGCCATCTACAATAGTTTTTATTAGATATGTTAGAATATTTACATAGGTTTCTTTCTGCATTACTAACTTCAAACAGTTCATTTTATCCTGGGCCCGATTTCAACAACCTGGAGGGTCACATTCCATGCGCGTCTCAATCCTGGATCCAATTCCATCCCCTAGAAAAAATTAATTACGTAGGACTGATGTACTGATCAGCTAATTTTTGATTACCTTCAAAAGAATCATCTACTTCGCGTGAGTTAACCACAATCCTGGAGGTTCCACGATGTCATTCGCTATAAAAATAGAAGAATTATGTTATTTTACAAATACAGCTATTTTAACAAATGAAATATCTCGAACAAATAAGTCAAACACCGTTTCAACCCTTCCTGTTGAATATCGTACGTCAATAATTACAAAGAAGACACATTACATACCTTGGAATCAATCCGCACCCTTATCCTTCCACCTCGAAAGTCAAGTCAAGTCAACTCAAATCTACAACAAACTATGACGCCGGGACAAAGAAAAACACGCCTTCAGGGCCACTTTATCACTTTATTTAAAAAATAGAAATGAAATGTCTAAATCTAACACAGATTTTGTGAATACAGAATCGTCAAACGAAAACCTTCATGACGCAACTGAAACGTCCATCCTAACCTAAAACATAAATTGCCACGAGGTGATCGAACTCCTAATAAAACAGACGTGCGTCAATCGTCCTTCCATCGATGCGAGCACGATCCAAGTTTTCTGGAAAAGAGTTAAGGACAACGGGCAACAGCGGACGAAATTTGATCAATCCTAGGATTGAGGTCTGCTTATGAGATTCCGGACCACTCTGGACTGAGTCGTCGCAGAGACCTGGGACACCAACAAGACGAAACCAAAAGCAGGGCAGTCAATCCGGCGCGAGACCGCGCCTTTCGGATAGGCACGATTTGTCTGAGGGGGATTTTCGGAACGGGACTTCAATCGGGCACAATCATTTTTTTTATTTATCTCCGGAACCGTAAGCCTGATGAAAAATTCGTAAGAAGCAATTTTGTTGGCAATACCATTATCTACAAGTTTTATTAACAACTTTTCCGCGTAATATTAATAACGAAGAGGTTACGAACGAAAAAAATTAAAAATTTGGGGACAATACCAAAGTCCTGCAAAAAAAACGATTTTTAATAAAATTATGTATTAAATTATTAATAATTTTGTACTCAAATCCTCCTCGCAAAATGTGCCAGACTCACGGTTATAGAGCTAAATGGAAAAATAATTGCAACCTCAGCTCCGGTGACCCCGAAAACTCAGTTTCACACTAGCCCAAAAAAAAATCTCCGCCTACTCAAAACGCACGGTAGCCTATTCTGACCGGACTAAAATCCAATAAACAGACCTTTGCAAAGACCAACAACCAACAAAAGGGTTTTTGAAGAACTTCAACCACAAAGGATACTAATAGCCCTCTCGGCTTGCCAATCGGCCGCGTACAGGATAAGCATGCTGCCAGCTCCCTTCTCCTCCAGATGTTGGACGTCCCCGTACTCGTTGAATTTTTCGCTCAACATTTTGTAACTCGCAGAAGCCGGTAGCTGGAACGTCCGTCAGTCTAGCGTGACCAATCAAACACCCTTTTGTTACTTACATTCGTAACTAAAACCTTCCTGGAAAATCCGCCGTCTTTCATATTGCCCGAAGACCCCTGATTCCGCAACAACGACCCGGCGCCTCCCATATTCCCCATGTTGCCGCCCATCGACCCGTACCCGTCCCTATTGTTGCCCCCGAACGAGAAACCTCCCCCTGAGGACCCCTTCGAGTCGTAGTTCTGGAATCCCCTGCCGCTGCTGTAGCTCGGGTTCTGGTTGAAGTTGCTGTTCTGGCTGCTGAACGAGTTGTTCTCCCGCGAAAACGACTGCGAGTTGGAGTTGTTGCTGGTGAGCCCTTGCCCCATGCTGCCTGAACCGCCGCCCGAGCCGCCCAGCGCGGCCAGCTGCGAGCTGTTCTGGACCAACGGGTTCGAGACGAGGTTGCTGGCCAACGAGAGATCCGCGTTGTTGAGCAGGTTGCTGGCGAGCCCGCCCATGCCGGCGAGGTTGGCGGCCTGGAGGACCGACGAGCTGGTGCTCAGGTTGCCGAAGGGCGACCCGCTGACGACGCTGTTCAGGCCGCTGAGCGCGTTGGCCATCTGCAAGGCCTGGTTGGGCACGGCGCCCAGGATGCCGGCGCCGGGGTTGGAGGGCTGGCTGTTGTTGACGATGGAGGGCAGGTTGCGGGCGACGTCGCGCAAGGGCTCGCCGTTGGTGCCCAGGCCCATGCCGATCCCTTTCAGGCCTTCCGGGAGCTTGAGGGTCTCGTTAGCGCGATCGATGCGAACGCTCATGGGACGGTCGTTTAAGACCTGATTGTGGAACATAGAAATGGCCTGTACTGCTTCGACGGGGTGGTCGTATTCGACGATTGCGAAACCTCGGCTGCGACCGTCTTTGTCCGTGTGCAGGTCCACACGGATTATGCGGCCAGCCAAACGGAAAACTTCCTTGAGTTTTTTCTTGTCTACGTTATATTCCAACTGGAAAAACAACCAACACACACAATTGTTACAAGGAGTTGTTACATGGCGGTGTGAACCCTTTGTTCTTTGGACAACGGAGAGCGAACGAGATAAAGGAAACGAGGGCTGGACTTAAAAGGGGCTCTCCAGAAACGCTACAACGGGCAAAACTATTTGTTTTCCTTCCTAATATTATTTCCTCGGGCTATCTAGAGCTTGGTTGTGCCCTCAAGATCACACTGTTACTAAATTTATATTTTCAATCAACGACAAGTATTCGCTACCTGACCCTACCTTAGCTGACCATCTTTTAAACTATAATGTTGTGGAATTAAAATCATGAACCACTGAAACGTTTAGAATGATCAGATAACCACCGAAAAATTTGTTTAGAACTGTGACCTTCCAAAATTATAAAAATATACAAGTACGTAATGAGAATAAGGACATAAGAATGAGAGTAGTAAATTTAGGTTCTTGGTGTGGCTCTTCTGGTATACAACGAAATAAGCAAAAGATCCTTTGTCAAAAAAACCTCAATTCCTTTTTTCAAAAATGTACTCCTTTCGCTTTTCTCTCATTTAGTAAATTTTCCGCAGTTTTAAAAGGTGAGAGCTGAAATCTAAAAAAATCTGTCGAGGCGTTTTAGTGTTCTTAAAATGAAGAGGATAAGTGTAAGACAAAATATACAATCAAGTGATGAACAAACATTTAAATCCATTTGTGCAATCCATCAAAGACTAAAAACTGGTGCCCGAGTTTCCATTTAACATGTCCTAAACGCATACAACTGGTTTGCCCCGTTTTTACCTTTTATTATAAACTCATAAGTTTCCAATATCTAGGAAAAGAAAGAGTACAGAGGGAGTAGTATATTCTCAGCCCCTAAAAGTTAACTGCGTTCCTTATGTCAAAGTTTAACAAAAATCAGCCTCAAAACGCGAAGATCCTTTTAAATCCCTACATCTAATTTTGCCTTGTCACACCTCCACAAAAAGCAAAATAGTAGAACCCCGCTTGCTACGCTTACAACGTAAAATAGCCCAAGTCACTTAATTCACTGATGTTGATGGTCCACAATAATAATTATAATAAATATGATTTATAATAAAACAGTCAATCAAACTAAAATAAGCTGCGTGACTCAATCTGATCTGACCTAACCTGAGTTTGTTCCGTTTTGAGTTGACGGCGTGCAAAACCCGTAAGCAATGCATTTTATATGGTAGAATCTGTCTGCCTGTCTGCCGTCCCGGATTTTTATTACACAGATAATTTCCGAAAATGTGTGAATTGTTGTCAAATTTTGTATTTATATTAGGAATATCATGTAGATGGTAAAACGCTAACCAAAATTTGTCTAATATTCCCCACCAAAAATGTGATGACGTCAGCTCAAAATTTTGGCGCATAAATCCTATCTAAAAATGTCCAAAATATCATGGGTCTGTGTTTGTGATTTATCATTCCATTCATAGTTTTTGATTTGCTTATACGGGGAACTCAAAAAATTAAGGAATGCGTGAATTTATTTTAGTGAGTAGTAACAAAGAATGATTTTTTTGATAGAAATTAAAAAAAAAAAAAACTAGCATAGAAAAAGTTAGGAATCAGTAGTGTTTGGTGACATTACGGGTAAAAACTCTTGATTAAAAATTCTGATGTTCCAATTTTTTTTTAATGTGAAATTCTTCAATTTTTCGATTTTTTAATTGCTGAATTGTTTACATTTTCGTTTTTTTCAAATTTAGATTTTTGTTTCTCGATTTTTCAATTTTTGATTTGCTAGTTTGAAACGTAATAATAATTATAATTTGTAAATTTTTCAATAGTTGGATTTTAAACCTTTTTTATTTTCAATTCAATTTCTCATTTTTTCGATTTTTAATTTTTCGTCTTTTCATTTTTGAATTTCTCTTTCAAAATGTTATAGTTTTTCGATTTTATAATTTTGACAATTCCATAATTTTTAGATTTTACAATTTTAGGGTTTTCCAATTCGTTTTTTCAGTAATTCTATTTGCAATTTTTCGATTTTTTAACTTTTCGAATAAAAAAAATTGAAAAATTTTAAAGTTGTAAAATTGAAAAATAAAAAAAGAAAAAACGAAAAATTGGAAATCAAAACCGAAAAATTAGAAATTAAATCAAGAAATTCAAAAATTGCAAAATTGGAAAACCGCGAAAATGAAAAACTAAAGATTAAAAATTAAATTAAGAAATTCAAAAATTCCAAATTGGAGAACCGAGGAAATGAAAAGCCAAAGACTGAAAATTTGAAAAACTGAAAAATTATTAAATCGACAGCAACATTGAAAAAATAAAGGAAACGAAAAAACGGAAACTTATGACAAAATCGAGAAAACGAAAATTAAAAAACTGGTCGAAGAGTATTTCGACAGAACTTCCCTCGCCCCTGAACTGCAACCCAACCAATTTGGTTTTTATCACGTCATATTTCAAAATCTATCAAAAATATTTATTCAATACCTTTTGTGCAAGTAACAAAGGTTTTTTGGTAGAAATTAAAAAAAAACACTGATATTACAGTTAAAAACTCTGATTTCCTCATTTTTTTTCAATGTGAAAATTATCAATTTTTCGATTTTTTAATTGCTGGATTTTTTACATTTTTGTTTTTTTCAATTTTAGATTTTTCTTTCTCGATTTTTCAATTTTCCGTTTTTTCAATTTTTGATTTACTAGTTTTAAACGTAATAATAATTATGATTTAGTTGGATTTTAAACCTTCTTCATTTATTCAATTTTTCATTTTTTCGATTTTTACAATTTTGAAATTCCTTAATTTTTCGATTTTACAATTATAAAGTTTTCCAATTCGTTTCTTCGGTAATTCGATTTGCAATTTTTAGATTTTTTGCTTTTTTGATTTTCCAATTTTTCAATAAAAAATGGGAAAATTGTAATGGTGTAATATTCAAAAATTAAAAGTGAAAAAACGAAAAAGTATAAAATGAAAACTTTGAAAAATCTAAAAATTGGAAATCGAGAACGAAAAATTGAAAAATCAAAAGATTAAAAATTGAGAAACTTAAAAATCAAAAAAGTGCAAAATTTTCATTTTTTTTTCAATGTGAAATTTTTCAATTTTTCGATTTTTTAATTCCTGGATTTTTTACATTTTCGTTTTTTTTCAATTTTTGATTTGCTAGTTTTAAACGTAAAAATAATTATGATTTGTAAATTTTTCACCTTTTCAGTTTTACGACTTTAAATTTTCCCATTTTTTTCAATAGTTGGATTTTAAACCTTCATTTATTCAATTTTTCATTTTTTCGATTTTTAATTTTTCGACTTTTCATTTTTCAATTTCTCTTTCAATGTCATAGTTTTTCAATTTTTACAAATTTTGAAGTTCCTTAATTTATCAATTTTACAATTATAAAGTTTTCCAATTTGTTTCTTCGGTAACTGGATTTGCAATTTTTCGATTTTTTGCTTTTTTTGATTTTCCAATTTTTCAACTTTTCGAATAACAAAAGTGGAAAAATTGTAATGGTATAATATTGAAAAATTAAAAATGAAAAAACGAAAAAGTAAAAAATGAAAACTTTTAAAAATCTAAGAATTGGAAATTAAGAACGAAAAATTGAAAAATCGAAAGATTAAAAAGTGAGAAACTTAAAAATCGAAAAAGTATAAATCCAAAAAACCAAATATTTCGTATTGTAAAATCGAAATATTGAAAATCAAATTAAAAAGCTCAAAAATTAAATTCCGAAATTCAAAAATTGCAAAATTGGAAAACCGAGGAAATGAAAAACCAAAGATTGAAAATTTAAAAAACTGAAAAATGATTAAATCGACAGAACATTGAACAAATAAAGGAAATGAAAAAATGAAAACCTTGGACACAATCGAGAAAATGAAAATTAAAAAATTGGTCGAAGAGTCTTTCGAACTTCTCCAGCCCCTGAACTGCAATCCAACCAATTGCGCTTATTTTGGTTTTTATCATGTCATATTTCAAAAACTGTTAAAAATATTTATTCAATACCTTTTGTGCAAGTAACAAAGATTTTTTGGTACAAATTAAAAAAAAAAAAAAACACTGATATTACGGTTAAAAAATTCTGATGTTTTTTTTAAAATGTGAAACTCTTCAATTTTTCGATTTTTTAATTGCTGAATTGTTTACATTTTCGTTTTTTTCAAATTTAAATTTTTGTTTCTCGATTTTTCAATTTTTGATTTGCTAGTTTTAAACGTAATAATAATTATAATTTGTAAATTTTTCACCTTTTCAGTTTTACGGTTTTTAAATTTTTCCATTTTTCAATAGTTGGATTTTAAACCTTTTTTATTTTCAATTCAATTTCCCATTTTTTCGATTTTTAATTTTTCGTCCTTTCATTTTTGAATTTCTGTTTCAAAATGTGATCGTTTTTCGATTTTATAATTTTGACAATTCTATAATTTTTAGATTTTACAATTATTGGGTTTTCCAATTCGTTTTTTCAGTAATTCTAGTTGCAATTTTCAGATTTTCTACTTTTCCGACTTTTAACTTTTCGAATAAAAAAAATTGAAAAATTTTGAAGTTGTAATATTGAAAAATCGAAATATTAAAAATTGAGTAAGTGCAAAATTGAAAACTAAATAATGAAATTCAAAAATTGCAAAATTGGAAAACCGAGGAAATGAAAAATCAAAGATTGAAAATTTGAAAAACTGAAAAATTATTAAATCGAAAGAAACATTGAAAAAATAAAGCAAACGAAAACTTGTGACAAGATCGGTTTTTCTCACGTCATATTTCGAAAACTATTAAAAATATTTATTCAATACCTTTTGTGCAAGTAACAAAGAAAGATTTTTTTGTAGAAATTAAAAAAAAAACACTAGTACAGTAAGTATAAGTTAGGAATCAAGAGTGTTTGATGTTATTACGATTAAAAAACTCTGATTTCCTAATTTTTCTTTTTTTTGAATTTTAGATTTTTGTTTCTCGATTTTTCAATTTTCCGTTTTTTTAATTTTTGATTTGCTAGTTTTAAACGATATAATTATTATAATTTGTAAATTTTTCAACTTTTCAGTTTTACACATTTTAAAAATTTTCCATTTTTCAATAGTTGGATTTTAAACCTTCTTCATTTATTCGATTTTTCATTTTTTGGATTTTTAATTTTTCGACTTTTCATTTTTCAATTTCTCTTTCAATCTTGTAGTTTTTCTATTTTACAATTTTGACAATTCCATAATTTTTCAACTTTTCAAATAAAAAAATGGAAAAATTGTAGTTGTAAAATTGAAAAATCTAAAAATTGGAAATCAAGCACGAAAAAATGAAAAATCGAAATATTGAAAATTAAATGAAGAAATCCAAAAATTGCAAAATTGGACTACCGAGAAAATGAAAAATCAAAGATTGAAAATTAAATGAAGAAATTCAAAAATTGCAAAATTGGAAAACCGAGGAAATGAAACATCAAGAAGAAAAAAAACACTAATATAGCAAGTTAGGAATCAGTAGTGTTTCATGAAATTACAGTTAAAAAACTAAGACAAAATTTTGAATAGTTTTTGAAATATAACATGATAAAAAAAACAGAAAAAAATTCAATTTAAAATTATGAAAATTTATGGAATAATAAGATTAACTATGAAATTTTCAAATAAAAAAATCAAATTTTAACACGAATTGGTCAGTAAATTTGACAACACAGCCGCGAATTCTCCCATATACAATGAATTGCTTCTGGAACAACAAATACGCCGCCACTGCTTATTTCAGTCAGAATTAAAAAAAAGATAGCCACACATTTTCCTAATTTTTTTTAAATTATTTTTATATAATCCACCTGCATGTCAATGAAAAAAATAAATAAAAACGAAAAAAGAAAGACAGTTGAGTTGAGAGCATACAAAAATTACCAAACTATTGTAGTGTAGTCAACCAACAATACAATCCCCACAAATCCGTGACCATGACAAATCAAGTTATTTTAAGTGTGACTGCACAAAATTATCCTGTGATCTACCAATCTCCGATTCCTTATTACTACTGATATAAAAAAAACCGTCACAAGCCCCATAACTTCAACCTGTCGACCCCAACACGAAAAAGGGTTCACAACTTCTCCATTATTTCCATCAAAGAAGAAATTTTATTAATACCACGTGTCTCCTAATGCACCCCAATCGCCCCCCTCCACTCCAGCACTTGGCATTAATAAAACAAACAACTCAACTGAAAACTTAAAATACTTACGTTGGCCACAAAAACTCGATTACAGAGAGGCGTGTCAATGCGAAGCGACTCTAAAAACTGCGGACTGAGCCCATACGTATTGCCCCACTTAGTGTCAGCCCCATCACCACCTGATCGATTCGACAAATTCTGCTGAGAATCGTACCGTTCGTCCCGGTATCGATTCTCATCTCGGCCCCTTTTGTTCCCCGATCCACCGATGATGTTGCCGTGCTTATCACGGATGTTGCCGCTGTCTTCCTTGATGATCAGCTTACGCGTCTTAACCTCGAACCGCTGCATGACTTCCAGACACTTTTTGACCGACTGGGGCTCTGAAAACTCGACGATGCCGCAACCTCGAGACTTGTCGTTCTCGTCAACGAACAACTCGACAAACTGAACGTCCCCAACTTGACTCCGAAAGAGATCTTTGAGATCTTGCCACCGATACTCGTAAGGAATATTGGATACGTACACTCTGCAGTTCGAGGACTTCATGCCGCCCCTTTCGCGGCCCCGGTCCAGGCTGCGCTCCCGGCTGGCCTCCGAGAAGCGGCTGGGGCGCTCCCGGCGGGAACGTTCTCGTGATCTGTCTTTCTCGACGGAAGAGTCTCTGTCACCCATTGTGATCCGGTGGAAGCTTTCTGGACGATGCGACGCTGGGACACTTGATGGGCAGGAAATGGGCGAACTGACGACGAAGAAGACAACACAACGATAAACTACAAATGACTTTGCAAAATGGCGACGGCGTCGGTTACCAGATCAGGATGACAATGTTACCAGATTAGGAGAAAAGTCACTAGAATGAAGGGTGGGCAACGCTACAAGTTTCAACAAACCGACAACGTGGACGTTTGGCGCGAATTTTCGAAATGGTTAAACATTTCGGAGACGTATTAAAAGAAAGTGTAATAAAGTGCGTTTTGTCTTAAGTCATAAAAGATTGGTCGAAGGTTATTTTTGACAGAACTTCCCTGTCCTCTGAAGGGCAGCCCAAGAAATTCTGCTTCTTCGAAACGTGATATTTTTTTTTACGATTTTTGCATTCTGATAATCCCAATAAAGTTAAAACCAGTGGCGTAGATAACACTGCCGAAGTTTTTTTGACTTGAATTTCTCAGTTCTTCGATTTTTCTTTTCCTCGTTTCATCAATTTTTCGATCTGCAATGTTGGTAAAATTTTTACAAAAGGCACTTCTCGATTTCACATAAACTGTTTGCACACAACACTTCTACAGCATCCCCTGATCACGTTCCTCACCTTCAAAAGCTATGCAAATGCTTACTTTTGCCACACAAAACCACTCTGAATTTTCTTCAAATTTCGGCCAAATTTTGACATTTTCGAAACTTAACTAAATACATGTTCTTGTGGATTTCGAGCACTAGAACTCAATTCCGGCGTCGGTTTTTTGATACCTGCAACCGTTTTTCCAGAATCGACCGTTGAAATATCGAAATTTTTAGAAATCTTCAAAAATTCGCATTTCGTAACGATTCTTTCGAAAATGTTGCTCTTTGACCATCAACACGCTATATTTTTGGAATCTGCATGTCGAGATCTACGTCCCTGAATTTTTTCACAATTTTTAGACAACTTTTTTAACAGTGAAATTTTTCCAATGGTCCCCCCTTCTTCAAATTTCGGCCAAATTTTGACATTTTCGAAACTTAACTAAACACATTTTCTTGTGGATTTCGAGCTCTAGAACTCAATTCCGGCCTCGGTTTTTTGATACCTGCAACCGTTTTTCCAGAATCGACCGTTGAAAAAACGAAATTTTTAGAAATCTTCAAAAATTCGCATTTCGTAACGATTCTTTCGAAAATGTTCCTCTTTGACCATCAACACGCTATATTTTTGGAATCTGCATGTCGAGATCTACGGCCCTGAATTTTTTCACAATTTTTAGACAACTTTTTTAAAAGTGAAATTTTCCCAATGGTCCCCCCTTCTTCAAATTTCGGCCAAATTTTGACATTTTCGAAACTTAACTAAATACATTTTCTTGTAGATTTCGAGCTCTAGAACTCAATTCCGGTTTCGGTTTTTTTATACTTGCAACCTTTTTTCCAGAATCGACCTTTGAAATATCGAAATTTTTAGAAATCTTCAAAAATTCACATTTCGTAACGATTCTTTCGAAAATGTTGCTCTTTGACCATCAACACGCTATATTTTTGGAATCTGCATGTCGAGATCTACGTCCCTGAATTTTTTCACAACTTTTTGACAACTTTTTTAAACGTAAAAATTTTGCAATGGTTCCCCCTTCTTCAAATTTCGGCCAAATTTTGACATTTTCGAAACTTAACGAAATACATTTTCTTGTGGATTTCGAGCTCTAGAACTCAATTCCGGCCTCGGTTTTTTGATACCTGCAACCGTTTTTCCAGAATCGACCGTTGAAACATCGAAATTTTTAGAAATCTTCAAAAATTCGCATTTCGTAACGATTCTTTCGAAAATGTTGCTCTTTGACCATGAACACGCTATATTTTTGGAGTCTGCATGTCGAGATCTACGTCCCTGAATTTTTTCATAATTTTTGGACAACTTTTTTAAAAGTGAAATTTTTCCAATGGTCCCCCCTTCTTCAAATTTCGGCCAAATATTGACATTTTCGAAACTTAACTAAATACATTTTCTTGTAGATTTCGAGCTCTAGAACTCAATTCCGGCTTCGGTTTTTTTATACTTGCAACCTTTTTTCCAGAATCGACCTTTGAAATATCGAAATTTTTAGAAATCTTCAAAAATTCACATTTCGTAACGATTCTTTCGAAAATCTTGCTCTTTGACCATCAACACGCTATATTTTTGGAATCTGCATGTCGAGATCTACGTCCCTGAATTTTTTCACAACTTTTTGACAACTTTTTTAAAAATGAAATTTTTCCAATGGTCCCCCCTTCTTCAAATTTCGGCCAAATTTTGACATTTTCGAAACTTAACGAAATACATTTTCTTGTAGATTTCGAGCTCTAGAACTCAAGTCTGGCCTCGGTTTTTTGATACCTGCAACCGTTTTTCCAGAATCGACCGTTGAAATATCGAAATTTTTAGAAATCTTCAAAAATTCGCATTTCGTAACGATGCTTTCGAAAATGTTGCTCTTTGACCATCAACACGCTATATTTTTGGAATCTGCATGTCGAGATCTACGGCCCTGAATTTTTTCACAATTTTTAGACAACTTTTTTAAAAGTGAAATTTTTCCAATGGTCCCCCCTTCTTCAAATTTCGGCCAAATTTTGACATTTTCGAAACTTAACTAAATACATTTTCTGGTAGATTTCGAGCTCTGGAACTCAATTCCGGCCTCGGTTTTTTGATAACTGGAACCGTTTTTCCAGAATCGACCTTTGAAGTATCGAAATTTTTAGAAATCTTCAAAAATGCGCATTTCGTAGCGATTCTTTCGAAAATGTTCCTCTTTGACTATCAACACGCTATATTTTTGGAATCTGCATGTCGAGATCTACGTCCGTGAATTTTTTCACAATTTTTAGACAACTTTTTTAAAAGTGAAATTTTTCTAATGGTCCCCCCTTCTTCAAGTTTCGGCCAAATTTTGACATTTTCGAAACTTAACTAAATACATTTTCTTGTGGATTTCGAGCTCTAGAACTCAATTCCGGCCTCGGTTTTTTGATACCTGCAACCGTTTTTCCAGAATCGACCGTTGAAATATCGAAATTTTTAGAAATCTTCAAAAATTCGCATTTCGTAACGATTATTTCGAAAATGTTGCTCTTTGACCATCAACACGCCATATTTTTGGAATCTGCATCTCGATATCTACATCCCTGAATTTTTTCACAATTTTTAGACAACTTTTTTAAAAGTGAAATTTTTCCAATGGTCTTCTTCAAATTTCGGCCAAATTTTGACATTTTCGAAACTTAACTAAATACATTTTCTTGTGGATTTCGAGCGATAGAACTCAATTCCGGCCTCGGTTTTTTGATACCTGCAACCGTTTTTCTAGAATCGACCATTGAAATATCGAAATTTTTAGAAATCTTCAAAAATTCGCATTTCGTAACGATTCTTTCGAAAATGTTGCTCTTTGACCATCAACACGCTGTGTTTTTGGAATCTGCATGTCGAGATCTACGTCTCTAAATTTTTTCATAATTTTTAGACAATTTTTTTAAAAGTGAAATTTTTGCAATGGTTCCCCCTTCTTCAAATTTCGGCCAAATTTTGACATTTTCGAAACTTAACTAAACACATTCTCTTGTAGATTTCGAGCTCTAGAACTCAATTCCGGCCCCGGTTTTTTGATACCTACAACCGTTTTTCCAGAATCGACCGTTGAAATATCGAAATTTTTAGAAATCTTCAAAAATTCGCATTTCGTAACGATTCTTTCGAAAATGTTGCTCTTTGACCATCAACACGCTATATTTTTGGAATCTGCATGTCGAGATCTACGTCCCTAAATTTTTTCATAATTTTTAGGCAACTTTTTTAAAAGTGAAATTTTTCCAATGGTCCCCCCTTCTTCAAATTTCGGCCAAATTTTGACATTTTCGAAACTTAACTAAATACATTTTCTGGTAGATTTCGAGCTCTGGAACTCAATTCCGGCCTCGGTTTTTTGATAACTGGAACCGTTTTTCCAGAATCGACCTTTGAAGTATCGAAATTTTTAGAAATCTTCAAAAATGCGCATTTCGTAGCGATTCTTTCGAAAATGTTCCTCTTTGACTATCAACACGCTATATTTTTGGAATCTGCATGTCGAGATCTACGTCCGTGAATTTTTTCACAATTTTTAGACAACTTTTTTAAAAGTGAAATTTTTCTAATGGTCCCCCCTTCTTCAAGTTTCGGCCAAATTTTGACATTTTCGAAACTTAACTAAATACATTTTCTTGTGGATTTCGAGCTCAATTCCGGCCTCGGCTTTTTGATACCTGCAACCGTTTTTCCAGAATCGACCGTTGAAATATCGAAATTTTTAGAAATCTTCAAAAATTCGCATTTCGTAACGATTATTTCGAAAATGTTGCTCTTTGACCATCAACACGCCATATTTTTGGAATCTGCATCTCGAGATCTACATCCCTGAATTTTTTCACAATTTTTAGACAACTTTTTTAAAAGTGAAATTTTTCCAATGGGCTTCTTCAAATTTCGGCCAAATTTTGACATTTTCGAAACTTAACTAAATACATTTTCTTGTGGATTTCGAGCGATAGAACTCAATTCCGGCCTCGGTTTTTTGATACCTGCAACCGTTTTTCTAGAATCGACCATTGAAATATCGAAATTTTTAGAAATCTTCAAAAATTCGCATTTCGTAACGATTCTTTCGAAAATGTTGCTCTTTGACCATCAACACGCTGTGTTTTTGGAATCTGCATGTCGAGATCTACGTCTCTAAATTTTTTCATAATTTTTAGACAATTTTTTTAAAAGTGAAATTTTTCCAATGGTCCCCCCTTCTTCAAATTTCGGCCAAATTTTGACATTTTCGAAACTTAACTAAACACATTCTCTTGTAGATTTCGAGCTCTAGAACTCAATTCCGGCCCCGGTTTTTTGATACCTACAACCGTTTTTCCAGAATCGACCGTTGAAATATCGAAATTTTTAGAAATCTTCAAAAATTCGCATTTCGTAACGATTCTTTCGAAAATGTTGCTCTTTGACCATCAACACGCTATATTTTTGGAATCTGCATGTCGAGATCTACGTCCCTAAATTTTTTCATAATTTTTAGGCAACTTTTTTAAAAGTGAAATTTTTCCAATGGTCCCCCCTTC